CTTCCCCACCCTTCTCCCTTCAAGCTCTCCTCCGGGAACACTCAATCCTCAGCCCACCCCAGGCATGGGGAGGGCCCAGTTCCAGGGGAAGGCAGGCCTCTGGAGCAAAGGCACTGACTTGAACTTGCTGACACCGCCTTGCCCTGCCCCTGGCTGAAAAGTTTTCCCACATCTGGCATTTCCTCTTGGACTCTGGCCTCTGAAACCCACACTGAAGAAAAAGCAACTCCAGACTGTAGAACGTGGGCTCTAGAAAATGGAGTCTCGTGAAAGGTTTGCAGTGGGGGAGTAACCAACGCAACATTTTGCCGTATCTCTTGCCTCTTTGAGATCCGTGACCCCACACTGCCTGGCTCTTCTTTCTCCTGGTCACCGCCCTTCAGCGTCTTTTGCTGCCCCCTCCTCCACCTGCCCACCTCTTCTAAGTAAAAATTAGAAAAATCCTTAGAGATTCTTCAACTAAGTAAATTGGGGGTGTTCGGGACTCATTCTGGACCCTGTCTTCTCTCTAGACTCTGCATAGGTGAGCTCATCTTTTCTCATTCTCTGAAGGACGTCTACATACTCATGGCATGTCGATTCATGTCTCTAGCCCAGAACTCTAGTCTCATTGATCCACTTGCTTATTTGATACCTTCATTTGTGTGTCTCACGAATCTCAAACTCAGTATCCTTCAAACTGAACTTGTGATTTTTCCTTTAGCAAATCCTATGGAGTCTCTCTCTACCTCTTCTGCTTTCCACTCTTGCTTGAGCTGATGGCGTCTTTCCCACTGAATTTGCCCTGGCCAGTTTCCCTTGACATTGCTTCTAACATGACCCTCAACTCGTTCTCCATAGAACAACCAGAGTAATCTGGTTAAATTGCAAATCAAATCATTTTAATCCCGTATGGAATAATATAATAATCCCTTAATGGCTATTTATTAAATTCAGAATGAAATCTAATATCGGACTGTGACCTGGCCCCTATCTACCTATGTTCACCATTAGTGCTGCTCAGCCACGTTTCCATTCCTTCTTTCCTTCTAGGCACGTGGGATGTACTTCCTCAAATTCTTCAAGTGGAGATATGACTGTGTGACTTGCTTTGGACAATAAAACATGAGTAAAACTGATTTGAGAGCCAGTACATGATAATTAATGCATATTTTCTTCTGCTATAGTGGTTAGGGAAACCAGTATTAATAGGGTGGTACCACAAGATTGAAGCAGCCTAAATTGCTAGTAATAGATCCACGGTGGACTTTTCAAGAGTGAAAAAAAAAAAAAAGCTGTTGTGAGATTTGGAGGTTGTTATTGCAGCAAAACAGAGCCTATCCTGATTGATGCTCTGTAGAAAGGGGTTAGTGGTGGGAATATTTTGTAGAACAAAAGCAAAACACAAACTTGTTTTCAGAAAATTTTCTTGTTTTTCATTAGGCTATAAAAAGATTAACAACCACCTCTTATTAATTATTCACAAAAGGAATCACAAGGAACTCCCCAAACTGGAGTGAATTTCTGGGTAGGCAAAGGAGCAGATGCATGCTTATTTTTGACAGGTAATGACAAGCTTGGTTAACAACTCTAGATACAGATGAGCAAGGCTGGATCACGGTGGGGGGAAAGAGATATGGTTGAAACTTTACAGAGAGAAAAATTGATGTGAGGAAAAGGCACCTTAGATGTGTTTAAATATCATTGCCAAAGTTAAATATTAACCAGGAAAGACATACTTTATTCCCCAACACCCAAGTAACAAACACCTGCTTCCCTTTGTCTTAGGTTTAAAATATCCCGGGAAGGATCTGAATGATCCAAATTCGGCTTTTCTGAAAAGAGAGAAGTTTGTGGGGAACACATATTTTCTAAGCAGGAGCATTTCTTTGGCTCCTTCAGCTCTGGCTCCTATTACCACATATATCTTCAATGACTGGCAGTGTTTAGTTACAACTTAATTTGGAAAGAGAGAGAGAAACAGAGAGCAACAGAGAGAGAAGACAGACAAATAGATAGGCAGGGAAGAAGATGGGGAAGAAGGAAGGAAGGGAGGGAGGAAGGAAGGAGAGAGGGAGGGAGGAAGGGAAGGAGGAAGGACAGGAGGAAATAAATCTGTGATGAGACTGGAACATGCAGTCTCTGAGAGGTAAGAGATGACCAACCCTTCCTAAAGACCCCTTAAACACACAAAATGGTAGGTAGAATTATTCTGACCCTCTTGACCCAGGTTGACCAGACCTTAGGAGGCTCAAGCTGAAATGGTGTAGTCACTGCTAGTGAATGTAGTGACTTCTACGTGAGCTGGCCTCCAGGAAGGGCAGCCAGAAAAGAGCATTTCTCAGAGCACATCTTCTCCAGAACGTGTGGGAAATCACCAGAAGATATTGAAAACAAGATTGCCCACATATTTTGACTCCAGGGCACTGCTAAGGCATTCCTCTGTCTTATGTTTCAAAATTCCCTGGTTCTGGGGAGGGAGAAGATGTCCTACTGGACCTCCCCAAGGAACGGGCATCCAAGGCTCCACAGCAATGTCTCATATGAGCAGCATGGGGCTGCACTGGTCAGACAGCACTCTTTCACCCTGAACTGTGAGTAGTCTGGCCTGGGCAATCTCTTCCATTTTGAAGGACGAGACCCCATGCCCATTGTGAAGATCATTTCCCACAATCCCTATCACTGAGTTAGTCCAGGTCTGCTCCTAGCTAGAGGCCCTAGTTGTGGCCCTGCCTCCTGGGTTCTTTGATGAGACCACAGACGGCCTCAAGGGTGGGACATTTGGCTGAGTAGAAAGTTTCAGGCTGGGCCATATAAGCCCAGGTTCCGGGCAGCTTGGGAGATCCTGGGAGTTTTCCTCTGGGGAAATGGATAGTGGTCTGGTTTTCTAGACCTGTGTGGGTTCTTTATGGAAGAAGGGCACTGCATGCCACTGCGTAAGCCGGATCCCACTGCCATTGCTTGGGAATTGCCCACGTGGCATTCATGCTGGGCTGCCCCTGGGATCGGAGGGGTCCCTTGCTGAGTCATCTGCTTGTTTTCCGACGACCCCGGGTCTCCTTCCTCAGAGAGCCTTTGCTCACAGCTCCTGAGCTTGCCCTTGTGTCTTACTGGATGACTGGTTTCCTGGTGGAAGGTTTGGACCAAGCAGTGCATCTGTAGGTGTGTGTGCCACGGAGATGCAGGAGCCTGAAGACAGCCTCCGTCAGCCTCCTCCAGCATCCCCGCTGCCTCAGGATCCACCGTGTCCAGGGACAGTGAATGCCTTCTCTCCTTGTTAATCCAAACAGCACTGACTATGGATTCAGCGGGAGTAGGCATGTTCTCTCCTGAGAAAGCAAGGTACAAACAGAGTCACCGCTGGAAGGTCTGTGGGCAGCTCTCCCTTTGGGGTCTCAGAGCTTTGAAGCTGAAAAAAGGCTGTGCCCCAAAGGTGAAGGAGGCCAGGTACCGAGTCCATGGTGCGTGTGTGCATACACACATATGGGCGACCCATGACCCCACTCCCATGCGCTCACACACGTGTCTTCCTGACACCCTCACACACACCCACGCAGGATGTCTCTCTGTCTTTCTCTCTTTCTCTCTCACACAATTATTCATTCAACAAATATTTATTGAGCATATTTATTTATTATGTGCCAGGCATTATTGATCCTAGGGAATACAGCAGTGACCACTGAGACAAAAACACACACCTTTACGATGCATTCTAGTGAGGTGGAAAAATAATAAACAAATGAATATATTACAGTAAAATTTCAGGTGGTAACCAATGCTATGGCGGAAAACTCAAGCATAATAGAGTTTAATAAAAGACTTCAGTTTTTGACTGCGGTGAGGGAGTGACCCCTAGGAAAAGCTAAAGACCTAAGCATTTCAGGCCGAAGGAATGGTAAGGAGCAAAGGAAGCACATCTGGTCACCTACACATAAGGAATGACATATACTCACCAGTGGAAAAGACTTAATTTACGGGGTTTGATTCTGATGATAGGTTTGCCACCCAGGGCACGGGCGGAGGAGCTGAGTTTTCAAGCAGCTTCCTTTGGAGGATGGGCCTTTCACCTGCCGTCACATACACACTGTTCCGGAGACACATTTGTAGCACTTACTGCTTCCCTGAAGCCAGTTCAGGGATGAGGATGCAGACCAAAATCTCTTTTCCTCAGGGACATATTTTTTCCCACCTTATGGAACATGATAGTTTACTGTCAACTCTTGGCGGCAGCGAGGATTGTGGGAATGACCGAAAGATAAGCTCCTATAGGAAGCAGGTCCGTGACTAGCCTGCAGCTGCCTCTGAACTGTCAATGTAGCTCACTCGAGCATTCTGGCATTTGTCACGGCAGGAGGCCCTATGGGTGATCGAGCGCATGACAGGAGTGGGGAGACGGTGTTGGAGGGACAAAACCATCAGGAAGCCCTGAGTTCCAATTCTAGAAACCCGAGAGCAATAGGGGACCAAAGCAGCCATCTCTGCAAATGGCTACAGCCCCGTAAACACTAACTGCGGTGCTAAGACTGAAGATTTGTTCTCGCTTCGTATCTCGACTACTATTTTCTCTGTGTAACAAATACGAAAATCTTTAAAAATATTCGAAATGCTCTGTACTTCTTTGAGAACAGAGAGGAACAGGGACATAATGCTGGCTTAATTCTCCATCCTTGGTTCAATTTGATGGACGATACAAGGTGGGAAAGAGGTATTTTGAGCCCTTTCCCCGTTCAGCTGAGGTCAAGGAGTGGAGAATGGACGGATGAAAAAAGGAGCTGCTTTACAAGGCTACTGGGGATGCTAGTTGAAATGTACATGTAAAACGCCCCTTCCCTTTCTACATGAGATGAGTCTCACAGTGCCTGGATGTGTCAAAGGCCTATGCCTTTTGGACGCAGCCAGTGGGGCCACAGGGGCTTCCTGGACCCCAGCTCAAGGTCACATGGTACCCCTGTGTTGCATCAGAGGCAGCCATGCTTCTCCTTGGAACCACATTTCTAGAACCTCGGTCCATCCCACGACACTACGACAGGATGAAGAAAGCTAATCGCAGGGTCCTTCCTTCTGTTCCTCAGCTCCCAAAATAGCTGCCCTTCCAAACACAACCCAATGTCATAAGACACTGGACTCGAGTTTGAGTAGGAGCCTCTCCCAGGGTGTCTCTGTGTACGGGCACAGAGAATCGCTATCTTCTAAATTCCCTCCATTCGTTTGGCTTCATGTCGTTAATACCTCCTGGTGTTTTCCTACCATTTAAAAAATATTTAATTCCTTCCATAAAAAAATATTAAAGCCCACATTATATAAAATTTGTCATTGTAACCATTTAAAAGGGTACAGTTCAGTAGCATTAAGTACATTCAGATTGTCATGCAGCTGATCTCCAGAATTTTTCCATCTTCCCAAACTGAAACTCTGTACTCCTTAAACCACCGTTCTCTATCTCCCCTCCTGCTTTCTGTCTATGAATTTGACTACTCCAGGTACCTTGTGCAGGTGGCATCATACAGCATTTGCCTTTTTGTGACTGGCTTATTTTACTTAGCATAATGTTCTCAAAGTTCATCCTTAGTTATCCAAGGCTCAGTAGGTGTCAGAGGTTTTTTCCTTTTCAGGGCTATATAATATTCCTCTCCTGCCATTTTGCCTGCTCTCTCTGTCTTCTCTCACTTCTCTTCCTCACCTTGTCCTTAAATATTAGAATATTCCAGAACTCTCATTGTTATCTCAGCCTCTTGTGAATTTACACAGTGATCTGCCACAATTTTACCCATGCCCATAGCTTCAACTACCACGTGTGATGTTGATGACCCCAAAACTGTATCTCTAGCTCCAATTTTTCTCTGAGGTCTAGGCTGGTTGGAAGTTCTATAGACAACTATCTCAAATGCAGCATATTCACAAACAGAGTCACCTCTTCCTACAAAATATCTTTTTCTTCTGTATTCCCTATCTCAGTGAATGGCAGCACCATCTACCCTGCTGCTAAAAATATAGGCAAAATTGCCTCCCTACCATCATTTTCACCTTATTTTTGTAAACTTAACCTGATTCCTCCCTGTATAACTACCTTATTCTTCACACTCCATTCAAATGCTTCAAGTGTCCTTTCAGCTCAGACTTGTGAGACATAAGTGACCTGGTCCCCAGCCAACCAACACACAAAGCCCCGAGGAGCTTTGTAGGTATCCGTTCACTTAATTCCTACAACAAGCCTATAATTTAGATACTACAGTTATTCTCAATTGACAGATGAGGAACCTGAGTGACAGAGAATTTGCATAACTTGTTCGAAGCTGTACACAGCAAAAAAGCACAGAGCAGAGATGCAAGCTCTTCTTTAGAGCCTACAGATTACTCCATCAGACAGTGCACGACATCTCACAATTAGAGAAAGACGTAGAATTGTAAACTTTTAGAAGTGCTCTAAAAGGCACGTACCTAGCCTGGGAGGTCAGAAGTCTTCTCTGAGGAAGCAACAACCTAAGCACTCTTTGAATTAATGTGCCCTAACTTATCACTTGGTACTGAAAGAGGAGGGAGCTCTGACTTACAGAGCAGGAGAAAGGGCCAGAGGGAGGGTTGGGGGCAGGGAATGGTGAATCTCACGGGGCATGTGGAGTTTGAGCTGTCTTTGCGACATGCCCCTGACATGGATTTGTGAGTCTGAAAGGCAGGTGTGTTAAGCATGGTGCTTTCATTTGACAGTGGGTGATTTTAGTGAATGTTTGCTGAATGACCAAATGAATAAACACCCCTGAAGACGGGATAGGGCTTTAGGAACCTCTTAGCTTATGCCCTGCAGACTAGGGTACTATTTGACTGTGCCAGTTCAGTTGAAAAGGACCCTACTGGTTGGCAAGAGTAATGGGAAATGGGCACCTTCAGCTCAAAAGTACCACTTTTGTCTCCAAAAAGCAGCACACTTCCTGTCCTGGATCACAGAGTCCCCTCTGGCTCCTGATTTCTTCCCAGCCTGGTTTGTGCAGGGCATGGGCCGCTCAGTCCTGAACTGTATACATAACCGTAGAAACTCTCAGGCACGGTCTTGACCTTTGGGGGAAATTTCCGCCTCCCTTGGCCTGTTCCTCTGTTAAAGGATGAAGGGTTGGGGTTTGCCAGTCACTTGATTTCTGAGCCATGTTCCCCTAACTTCCTCCTGGAATGAAATCTGAGTTCCCAAGGGAAGAGGCTTCCCCTCCCCTCCACCTTCCTGTTGAGGAGGGGACTTGTGCGCCTCACTGTAGTTCCCGGCCACTGTTTGAGGCTGCGATGAGCAAGCCCCCTGAGCCAGGGAGCCTCCTGGGCGCTGAGCCCTGCACTTTCTCTGGCCAGTGCCCAGGCTGTTGGGAATGCCACGTCTTCTCTCCCCCCAAGCCAGTTTCTCAGGTTGGAGGCAGAGCTCCCCTCTGCCGCCTGGCCTAGCAGGGGGGCCAAGCTCGGCTCACCAGGCAGACCAGTCCAGCAAGATCAGAACACATGAGCGGAGGCTAGGGAACAGCAGGCTGTGGGCCAGATGCCTGGCTGGCCTCCGGCTCAGTTGGCAGGGGACTGAGCCCAGCAGAGCTGCCCTGAACCGGTCCCCTTGTTCTGGCTCTGATTCCAGAGGACCTGCTTTCTCATTCTTCCCCACTAGAGGGGCCCGGCAGAGCTCTGGCCCTGCTCTGCCAGCAGCTCAGGCTCCCGCTGTGCCCTCCTATTCCACCCACAGCCAAGCCCGGGTTCCCTCCATTGCGCCCAGCACCTGTCCAGCCTTACCTTTTGGGAGCACCACGAGGTGAGCCTGGGCCCTCTGCTGCTGCCTCAAGCCTTCGTACTGGGCTCGCAAGAGCTGGATGCTGAGTGGGGGCCCTTTCCCCAGGGCCTGAATCTTGGAGCCCTCGGCCATGAAGAGAGACCCCAGCTGCGAGAAGTGTGCAGGGCACAGGCATGGGCAGGATCCCTTCATCCGGATCCGGGAGAAAAGCAAACACGATGGGTGGGGCGGCAGCGGGGAGCAGCGGAGTGTGTGTGTGTGGGGGAGCGGGCAAAGCGGGGCAGGGAGGAAAGTGAGGGGGGAGGTTGAAAGATATGGGGGAGGGAAAGGGAGGGAGAGGGAGACGTCGGGGGAAGGAAAAAGTAAGTGAAAAGAAGAGTGGAGAGAAATATAGGGGCAAGTGGGAAGGTTGGGGAAGAAGCAAAGCTAAGGAGAGAGAGAAAAGACCAGTGAGGGCAAACGGGGCAGGGGGCAGGGGACGGGGAGCGGGGGGAACGTAGGGAGAAGGCAAGTCAGGAAGAGCTGGGAAGTCAGGGAGGAGGAGGAAAGGAAGGAAGAGGGAAGGGAGGAATGGAGGAAGGTGGCACTAGCAAAGGGGATTAATGGCTGAGAGAAGAGTGAGGACGTCGGGGGCAGCAGGAGGAGAAAGGGGGAGAGGAGCGGCTGGGGAGCGAGAGACTGAGGGGTGGGCGCGGGGAGGGGAGGAATAGGAGGACAAAGAGAAAGGCTGGCACAGCTATTCAGAGTCTTGCTGGGCGCCCAAGGAGGCGTCGCATTCCAGGTCTTTCGCTGCTTGATCCTAAAGTTTAGAATCCAGTTCCCAGAGCTATGGTGAAGTCTTCGGTTTTGTAGCAGAGCTGAAGCCGATGCTGGGGAATGGCAAGTGCCTGCTGGGCTCACACCTCTTGGACTGGAACCTGGATGCTCATCAACAAACCTGCCGGTTCAGTTTGCATTGGGAAAAGGAACACCCCCTGCAGCCTCCCAAAGCTGGTGCCTGGGAGGACGTGCATCCTGCAGCCATGTCCTAGGGAAAAACCCGGTGGCAAAGGTGTCCCCAAGATCTTTACTCACCCCAACACATATCTCAGGAGAAAGCCCATCCCCTCTGTGGGGACGGAGCCCAAGGGACCCCAGGCCTCTAGCCAGCCCCACCTCTGCGACATTCGATGCAGGCTCTGAGGTCTCAACATTCTCCAGCCAGGCAGTAAATTGGTGTTTACCTAATCCACAGCTAGGTGCGCCCTCACTCTCTGCTTGCCAGCCCCACCATCTCTGCATTCCCTCTCAATCCTAGACCTTCTGTCTCTTGCACCAGCGTGGACATATCCTTGCTCCATTTGGTCAACAAAATCCCTTTCTATCTTCTCCTAACATGGGGCTAACAGGTTACCCAGTTACCCTATACACCGACAGAGGCAATGGAAACAGAGCAGAGACCGGATTTAGAGACATTTTGGAGGTTAACTGGGTGGGATCTGCCATTGGATATGGGAATGGGAGGTGGAGGGTCCACCTTCATTGGGTCGTGCGTTAGTTTGCTAGGGCTGCAAAACAAAACAAGTACTGTGAATTGCTAGTCATTTGTGTGCCATTGGAAATCGCTAGTCGCTGGATATAGATTGCAGATGTGGATTGTAGATTGTGGATGTGAATGCAGATTGTGGACATGTATTATAGTTGTGGATATGGATTGTGGATGTAAATTGGGTATGGATGCGCTAGTCACTGAACATGGAAATTGCTAGTCATTGGAGGTGGAGGTGAGTCGGAGAGTTCATCTTCATTGGGTGGCGTGTTTGTTTGCTAGGTCTGCAAAACAAAACAAGAACCACTAATTCAGTGGCTTAAACAAGAGTAATTTATTGTCTCACCGTTCTGGAGGCTCAAAGTCTGAGATCAAGGTGTCAGCAAAGTTGGTTCCTTCTGGGGGCTGTGAGAGAGAATGTGTTCGGCGCCGGTCACCTAGATTTTGGTGGTTTGCTGGCAATCTTTAGTGTTCCTTGGCTTGTAGAAGTATCGTCTGACCTCTGCCTTTGTAGTCACATGGCATTCTCCTTGTGCGCATGTCTCTGTGTCAAATTTCCCCCTTTTTATAAGAAAGGATACCAGTCATATTGGATGACGGCCCACTAATGACCTCATCTGAATTCAATTAATTACATCTGCAATGACTCGATTTCCAAATAGTGTCACATTCTGAGGTACCAGGATTAGAATGTCAACATATGAATTTTGGTGGACACAATTTAAACCATACCAGGCAGAGGAATGGTAGTTCCACTCACAGAGATGGCACAGGGGAGGAGCAGGCTGGAGGGAGGGAGAAGAGGAGGGTTTTGTTTTAGATGTGATGTTGAGGTTTCTATGGCCTTTGGGTCATCAGGAGGGAGTTGAGTTAGATGCTAGGTAGAGAAATGTAAATGTCCTCATTTGTGAAAAACAATACAGTTCATTACTGGAAAATTTTATCTTCAGACAGTCAGGTGTATATAGAACTGAGAGATGGTCCAAAGTAGCTCTTTCTTTTCCCTTTTCAGTCTCCCATTCGCTTGTTCAGGCCATATTTGATGGACCGAAGAGAAGCTTCCTCCACGCGCTCCTACTTCCTTCTTTGTCCTGTGTTGTCCCAGGGGCTAACTTCTTTCTCTTGGCATCTGGTCCATCATTACGTTCTAAGTATGGAAAGCAGGGAGGAATGGTGGAGGCTGGTGGAGTTTCTACAAGACGATTTCTTGACGTAATTTCTGTGCCATATGTTTTTTAAAAAGGTCTCACTCTCTTGTTTCCACCTTGTCAAGACTTCAGTTATCCCATATCTTTAACCCATTTGGAATTGATTTCAGTGTTAGAGTTAGATCTTTTTTCCTCCAAATAATTGCCCAATGGTCACAACACCACTTACTGAACAAACTCTACGATTTGAGATAACGATAATAATAGTGTAAGAAAAAAATGGCAACTGGATCCCATCTCAGGAGGTCTTCAGAAATAAATGAAAAATATGACTGAGTCTGGAGTCCTTCCTGAACAACGATGACTGCTGCCACTACAAAGGTGTCCTTCATTATCCAGGCAGACTCTCCAGGGCCACAGGAAATAAGCTTCAAGTTTGTCCAGAGTTCGGGGCATCGGAGTAGGGGTGAGATGCTCTGTTATCTGAGAAAAGAGTTTCTTTTTCCATATGTATTCAGACTGTACTGAACCTGAACATCTAAGTCTGTGGTTGAGAGATAAGCCTGTGACTGCTCTAACAGGACCACCAGTTAAAAGAACTGCTATTCTTGCAGCTCTCGCTGGAGCTTAGAGTAAAGGAAATTAAGTCTAGCGGATCTCTTGGATGTCTAAGAGATCCAGATATTCTGTGAGACTCGGGTAGCAATGGGGGTCACTTATCCCTAGAGCACTGATCCAGAGAGAATCACTCCAGCTGGAGGCACCGTGACCTAAGGCCCGGTTGTTGGTGGCTGGAGATTCAGAGACTTGAAGAAGGAAGCCTGTGGAGGAGATGGTTTGAGAGCTGAGTACAGGAGTGGATCCTGTCATGCTGAAGGACTTTCGTTGCAACTTCTTTCCACTGGACACTCTAGGGAAAGCTTAAAGTACCCCGATGTCTAACTTTTCCTCTTCTCTTCTGTCCCCAGTAGCTACCTCCCTAGCACTAATTTACTTTCTGTTTCTGTGGGTTCGCTTCTTCTGGATAATTCATATAAATGGAACCATACATATACAACATGTGACCTTTTATGTCTGACTTCTTTTACCCAACATAATGTTTTTAAGGATCGTCTATGTTATAGCGTATATCAGTACTTCATTCCTTTGTATGGCTGAACAATATTCCACTGTACAAATATATCTTTTGGTTGTCCATTCATCTATTGATGGACATTTTGTTATTGTGAATAGTGCTGCTGTGAATACTCACATACAGATTTTTGTTTTAATACCTGTTTTCAGTTCTTTTGGGTACTCTACCTAGGAGTAGAATTGCTGAGTCATATGGTTCTTGTATGTTGTATTTATTGCAAAAGTTCCTTAGCTGAAAATGTCTTGCATTTTGATGGTATTAAAAGATTTCTGCATTGTATGCTTTGGCTTTTCCGTTGACATGCCAAGAGCTCTGCTTTGCAGTAACGCTGGCCTTTGCATGTTAGTTGGTTCGTGTGTTTGGTTTTTTGGAAAGGACATTATAGTTTATAATTTCTCACCATGTAATGACAAAATAACTCCCTGGCTGTAAATGAGTTTGCGAGAAGCAGGAATACTTTCTGATCTGTTTATACTTCTTCCCAACTCTATTATTAAAGTACATTAAAAGTCCATTGTGAAAAATGTATAAACATTCTCCCAAATTTGTTTTGCTGTGGCCTGTCAAAATTATTGCTACTTTATGTAATAATTGTGTAAAATCATTAAGTGAATTTTAGAGGCAGTATAATGATTATATTTGTGCCTGGAGTCTGAAGCCAGGACACCTGGGTTTGAATCCTGGCTCTACTACTTACTAGTTGTGAAATCTTGGACAAGTTTCTTGACATAAGTAACATCTCTGTGCCTTGGTTTTTCCATCTGCTAAATGGAGCTAATAACAGCACTTTTGTAAGGGTGCAGTATCCTTAAAACAGTGCCTGGCAGGAGCTTGGTACTACATGAACTTATTTTGAATGCAAATTCACAAATTGGCCCAAATAATTACAAACCTTTAATTGACATAAGTTATTAGTATGAGTCTTCTAAAGGGGGATCTTACTGATTTTGGTTTTGGCAATGCCTGCCACTCTTTGCAAAAGAACATTCTTTTCTCCCAAAATAAAGCATATAAAAGCTATTGAAAGAACACTATGAGACAACTACCGAATAATTAACTTCAAATACTTAAAAAGAGATTATCGCAAATTTTAAAACAATTTTACTAGCAACAAAACATAATGTGCTATGATAATAACAGCCCCCATCTTTTGGTTTTTGAGGTGAAAATTCAATTTGTTCAGCATTTATTCATTCAATAAGAACTTATTCAGCTACTACAATGATCCAGACTCACCAATCAGGATAAAATAGTAAATTAAACAGACATTATTTGCATGGGAGTTCTAGTCCAGTGGTGGGACAGAAATGAAAAACAAGTTAACTAACAATTGCATAATTAAAATTTATGATATCAACTAAATGAAGAGATTACAATAAATAACTTAAATGAAATAATGCATATCAAGGGTTTAGGGGAATTCCTGGCCCTTAGAAAATGTA